AATGCGCAGCTCGCGGCGGGGTTCACAGCTTGCAGAGCGCACTTACGCGGGGTTCTGACCATGGCAGGCTGAACCAGCAGATCTTTGAACGAATGGAGGACGAGATGAGCACTGATACTGATGGGATTTCCACTGAAAGCTAACTGTCGGCCAGGGTGAGTTCCATACTTGACGAGTTCGGTTGAGTTCCATACTTGGCGAGTTCGATTGATTGCCGTGAGAGCGATCACTTTCCACTTGATTGCCGTAAGAGCGATCACTTTCCATCTCGTTTTGTTCTTCGTAGTGTTCTGTAACATTGCGCCCGCGTCGAGCCGAGTGTCAGCCTTCGGCATTGCGGCTTGCTTGCAGCATTGCAGACTGGCTTCGCCACCACTGGGGCTGCCATATCTGGAACCGTTGGCCTGTTCAGAGCAAGCATCGCTACCATCGCCATCACCATCGCCATCGCCACCAATGCCACTACATAGTAGGTTGGGTTGCGCCATAGGGTGATAGTAGGTTGCGCCATGGGCTAATAGCAGGTTGCGCCATAGGTTGCGCCCTCCGCCGCGGCCTCTTTGTCCTCGGGGGTTATGGGGGAGGCGGGGTGGGGGGGGGGGGGGGCGAACGTGCAATGCCAAACGGCAACCGCCGCCAGCCCCCCGCGGGTTGGCGCCTGGGGATGCGGGAATGCCATGCCAGGGGCCCTCCGTTTGAGGGCAGCGGTTCGGGGGAGGAGGAGGTATTCAAGTAAACTATGCAAGTAGGCTGTTCAAGTAGGCTGTTCAAGTAGGCTCTTTGGGGGCTGTGCTACTCAAGTAGGCTATCGTGCGTGCCCCCTGCCCGTGTGTCGCGCCGTGCCGTGCCGGGTAGTACTGTTTGGGGTCTACGTGTCCGTTGAGCTGCCTGGGGTCTACGTGCCCGTTGGAGTCTACGTGCCGTGCCGTGCCAGGTAGCACTGTTTGGGTATCCTTGCGATCCGTCAGTCGCCCATTTCATCTCAAGAACTTGACGAGTTCCCATGACGTTCCATACTTGACGAGTTCCCAGACGTGCTATACTTGACGAGTTCCCATTGCGTTCCATACTTGACGAGTTCGATTCGCGCCATGGCTGAGGCAGCGTCTTCAGCGGCTTCGGGGCCACCAGCGGCTAAAGAAACAAGCGGGTTCAAGATTCGGGAGAGGATGCAGGCGATCACTTACAATTGCGATGATTTGCCGTCCGGGTTCGAAAAAGATCACATGGTGGAGTACGAGGTGGTACAGAAGTAGAGGCTCGTGATCAAGCTTCGGTCCACGCGGGGCCCGCCCGCTGACACATCGCAGGAGCAGCGCGATCTGCTCAAGCGCCCGAGGGACGACAGCCCGAAGCCGAAGCCGCCTCAGGAGAAGGGATATATCAAAGTGCGGAGGTGCTCCCCAGTGATCAGGGCAGAGGAAGGCGAGGAGATAGTCTCGTCGCAAGAGGATGTTACCAAGGAGAAGAGGGACGTTACCAAGGAGAAGGAGGCGGCGCTGGCGGCCCCGCCGCGAGTTACCGCGCGGCCAGAGCAGGGTGCGACGCAAACGGTGGTGGAGGGCACGCGTGAGATCGCGGTCGCGGGCGCATCGTTCATCACAGGCTTCGACGAGGCCCTTCCCGGCCACGGTGGTGAATCGTGTCCGCCAGACGTCATTCGAGAGAGTTCCCGTCTCGCCCTCGCGTCGCAGATCTTAGATGAGGATATCCCCTTGCCCGCATCTCCCAAGAACTCGAAGGATAAGAACGACGGTGTTTTCGAGGATTGGGGTAAATCCGACAGTAGGTCGCTCCATGATGTTCTCAGTGGCATGGGCATCAACCCTGATGACGTTAGCAACACTGTGGTGGATGTCAGCCAGGAGTCGCAGCCGCTCTGATCTTCCAAACTCGGGCCGATCCCGTTTTCGAGGGTCGGGATTTGCTGTGCTCAATTCGCTGTTAGGGTTCTCGTATCTTGCGTGCCTAGAGCCGACCTCAGTATCGGCCGTGAGAGCCGGCGTTTGCCAGTAGCCAATGGCGCCCCTTCCGTCGGAGGCCTCGGAGAACACACCATGTTCAAGCTGTTGTCGTAGTCGGGCACTACCGTCATCATCATCATCATCGACATCGTCGTCAATACCATCATCGCTACCATCATCATCATCATCACTACCATCACAACTACCATCATCAGCATCATCATTGTCACTACTATCGCCATCACCACCATCACAATCACCGCTACTACCATCTTGGTCACAAGCATGCCGCCATCACCATCACCACTATTACGACCATCGCCGCTACGAGCGACCACTACCATCATCATCACTACTGAACTGCCATCACCGCCATCACCATCGCAACTGGATCACTGGGCACTCGTCACAAGCATCGCCATTGCCATTGCCTCTGAAGAGACGGTCGCAACCCAGGCTGTTTCAAGAGCTGAGCTGGCTCAGAGCCGAGCGCGCGCGGAACGTCTCGGCCAGATTTGTAGTTCTGCGTTCTGCGATGCCACCGAAGCACCTTCAGCCGATAGGGCGCCCAAATTGGGTTAATCGGATCCAGGATCCCGTGTTCAAGAAACGCTTTCTCACGCTGCTCAAGAAGCTCAAGCTCCAGAAGCTCAAGGCTTGGCGTCTCTCAGTCAGGAACCGCATGATGCGCACCAGGTTGAACGCGATCTCTAACGTGTCGCAAGTAGCCCTGACAGCAGACGACGTGGCGGCCCAGCAAGACTTGGAGAACCTAGCCGTGATCAGCAGGGACCTCCCGCTTGACTGATCGAGGTCTGGGGCGGTCCTCAATCTACGCTTCCCCTTTGCCGCTGATGCCGTGAATGGGTTGCGTTCAGTGTAGGGCCATCGTGGGCAAGCGTTCGTGTATAGGGGCATCTCCAGCACTGAGATAACCTCACAGCCTGACTCGAGTAAGGCATTCGCGTGCTGAGCCAGCACTTGCCATACATTGCACGCCCCTTCTGTTGGAGGCAACGGAGAACAGGTGGCCAGCGATGCAATCGTCGTCTTCATCGCCGTCGCCTCCTGGATAGGAGGTGCAGAGGCGACGCAACCGCCGCTGCCGTCATCATCGCCACTGCCATCGGCCCTCCATACCACCACCACCACCATCTCCAGCAGCACAGCTAACATAACCACCACCATCATCCTCACCACGACCGTCATCATCGCCTCCATCACCACCGCACCACTACCATCATCAACAGCAGTACCATCACCACTAACACCACTACCATCATAACCACTACCATCATCACTACACTTACCGTCACCACTACTATTGAAATCACCACGATAAGCGCAACTCTCATCACCACTACCATCACCATCACAATCACAATTACAATTACCATCACCACTACATTCATCTTCACCGCTCTCGTTACTGTGATTGCCATCACCAATAACATTATCATCACACCAGTACCATCACCAGCACCATAATCATCATCATTACCCTCACAACTACCATCGCCATTGCGACTACCTCCACCACTGCTATAATCATCCCGCTGTCTGGGGTCCACGCTGTCTGGGTCCATGCTGTCTGGGGTCCGCGCTGTTTTGGGTCCATGCTGTTTGGGGTCCCTGCTGTGTCTGGTGTCCACGTTGTTTGGGGTCCATCAATTCTGTTTGGGGTCTTTGCTGTTTGGGGTCCACGCTGTTTGGGGTCCACGCTGTCTGTGGTCGTCCATGCTGTCTGGGGTCCACGCTGTTTGGGGTCCATGCTGTTTGGGGTCCCTGCTGTCTGGGGCCCACGCTGTTCGGAGTCCATCAATTCTGTGTTGGGTCTCTGCTGTTTGGGGTCCAGGCTGTTTGGGGTCCTCGCTGTCGGTGGTCTCTGCTGTTTGGGGTCCATAGCTAAGCTAAGGTGCCATTCCTGTAGACCGACCCCAAACGAGTCTGGCTGCGCATTCGACGCGGCAGTGGCGACTGCTCATAGATGCTTCGGCCCTAGAGTTCTCACGGCGCCATCGTTTCGCTCGGGGCCGAACCCCCGCCCGCGTGGCGGGAGCCAGAGTCTGAACAGGGCCATGGGGGGCAGCGGTCGCGGCGGCCGCGGCAGGGGCCAGAAACGACCTGAACCAGAAGAAGATACCGAGGCCCCGAAGAAGGCTGAGCCCAATAAGGCTAAAGGGCGCACCGGCGCACTTCGGCGGGCGCACCATCGGCGGCGGCTCCGTCTGTCGCGGGCACGGCGAGGGGTTCCCGCGGCAAGAGGAAGCCGAAGTGCGACTTCTGCGGCGAGTGCCAGGACGGCGCCCAGGAGACCAGGGGAAAGGGTCCAAACAACGGGCGCGGGGCACCCTCTTGAGCCGTATGGAAGCCCTTCTCTGGCTTCCCCTGGGCCGTTTTGGAAGGGTCTTAGGGGTGTCAAGTTGTTTGCGGCAGTCGCGGGCCTCAAACCGGTACCTCGACTGGTTTGGGACCAGATTCTCGGGCCTCCCTTGGGACGTATTGGGGGTATCTTGGGCCGTCATGGGCCGCTCTCCTGGGGCGTCCTGGATGTCTCCTGGTCTGTGTTGAAGCGTTCTGGAGGCCACTTCTTTAGCTTTTCGAACGTCTGGGGCCGTCCTGGAGCCTCTTAGTCCGTTCTGGGCAGTCTCGGAGTTCTCTCGGGGGCCTCATGAGCCGTGCCGGGGCCCTCCTGGGGCCTCTTGGGCCCCTCGGGCCGCCTTAGAGTCATCGTCGGAGGCCGTCTTGAAGCAGCTTGGGCCGTCTTGAGGCCATGGTGGCCCGTCTTGGAGCGCGTGTGGACCCTCTCGAAGCTTCTTGGACCGTTTGGAGCTGGCAGGGTCGTCGCTGCCATCATTGTGACACAATGGGCGCTCTCTCGGAGCGTTGTTTCGAGGCCTCCAGAGGCCGCATTCCAGAGGCTTCGTGAGAAAAAATGGTGCGCGTTGGATGTGAGACCAGAAGACTTGCCAATTCAACTCCCTCCCCCCCCTTAGTCCGCTTTCATTTCATGTTCGAACTGCGCCCTGCCCGCAGTACTTCGACAAGGACGCCCGCATGAAGTGCTACCTCCACTGGAAGAACCACCACGGCTACATCCCGAGGGTAGATGCCGTGAAGATGTACCGAGAGGACGACAGCTTCAAGGAGTGCTGGAACAACGGCGTGAAGACCGAGGCAGACGGGTCCATCTCGCTCACGTTCGGCGAGGGGGAGGTGACATCCAACAAGAGGTTCCGCGTCGCGTGCCGCATGTCCTTCCCCCCCCTCAAGCTTGGCGAGTTCAAGGGCAAGTTCGGCATCTCCCCCCACGCGCTCAAAGTGAAACCCACGAGCGTCACTGACCTCGATGGCAAAGCTCGGAGCGTCTACCTGGTGAGGAACCCAGCGAGGCCAGACGCGGAGATGGACATTGAGAGGGTCGAAGAGGTGACCAAGAAAGACAACGCCTGGAAGACCAGGGCGGTGTTCGAGAATGAGGCTGGGATGTTCTACGACAGCGAGACGGAGAGGGTTCGTGACGACAGCGCGCATGGCTTCGCGAAAGCGCTCACCGAGGAGGAGATCAGGAAGAGGGCCGCCAGGGTCCCTCAGCCTCAACCCGATGGCGGTGCTGCTGCTGATGATAGTGATGACGGAAGCAGTGACTCGGGCAACAGCGACGCCAGCGGCGGGTCGGGCGACAGCGGGAGGCCAGGTGAGCCTGGCGGGGGCGGTAGCCCCGAGCTTGCCTCTAACGCACGCCATTTCCTGTCGGAGCTCTCGGTGGATTCCAAGGCGACGGCGACGGCGCCATTTGCGGGCCTGACCACTCCTGCCAAGGGTGCCAAGAGCGAGGTCGTATCGGCGCTGGGCGGGGGGAGTCGGTCTGGTCGCACGCAATCCTTTCAGCGCGGCCCCTCTTCCGCCGACGGCGGGGCAGGTGATGATCTCGACGACGGCCCGCCCGCCAGGAACGCCAAGGAACGCATGGCGAAGCTGAGCATCTGGGCCATCCTGGACCATAAGAAGAAGGGCACCCATATGCGGAACGCCAGGGAGTTCCTGCATAAGGAGCCTGACGCACCCGACGGTGATATGCTGCAGGAGAAGATAGAGTTGGCGGCCAAGTGCACGCAGTTTCATCGCGGCGGCGTCTTCGAGGTCAGCCTCAATGATTACAACAAGACCTGCGAGGACTTGCTCAACTCTGGAGAAGAGATCCCCGCGGTTGCCAAGCAGTACATCCTCGACAGGCGCGTCAAGATCTGGCAGGAGGACCCAGATAGCTACAACAATATTAAAGATATCATGGACATCGTGTTCACTTGGGACAGGGCGATGGCGAATGACAAATCCTCTGAGAAAGAGAGAGGTGGAATGGGGCCCTTCGCGTGCACGTACGACCCGACGAACCCCAAAGTGCGTGCCTTGGACATCTCCGACGCGGAGAAAGCTCTGAAGTTCGGTGAGACCGTAGTTAAAGTCATATTGGCGCCGATGCTTAAGATCGGCCAGAGCGGCGCGCAGCAGGTGATCAACCTCTGCAAAAGGCATCCTGACCGACTTGCTGAACATGCCAGACGATGGCGTGGAAGAGACATTGGCCAACGTGGTCACCGAGCTGCTCACGTGCTTCAGGGGGGCGGTGGACGGCGGCGGGTCCCACGATGACTTCTCTGACCTGGCGACGCCGCCGAAGCAGTACACCTTAGCCCAATCGTTGGCCGCAACCACCCGCTCACAGCCACACTGGAATGGTCAGAAGGCTAACTACCTGAAGTACCGGAAGCTTCGCGAGAGGGCTGAGCCCCGCCTCCAGGAGGTCAAGACCGCATTGGCGCCAGGTGCAACGGCCGTGCCCCTGGACACGTTCAAGACGTACATGGAGAGCATCTACATGCTGAAGGGCGAGCTGCCTGAGGAAGCGTTCGATGGCATCATGGGTCCGATGAGGGACTGCGCAATGCACAATCTCGCATCCATTCACGAGAAGCTGAGCTCTGCAGATGGGCCGTTGGACGACTTGCGCAAGTATGGGACGTTCCTCGTGGTGGCAGTCAATCTTTTCCCTTCGGATGACGAGTTCAAGCATGCCATGGAGGACGTGCGGGATAGGAAAGCGGGGGCTGCGAATGGGACGTTGCTGAAGGATCTGAAGGCGGCGTGCGAGGCCGCCGAGGCGACGACCAGCTTCGAGGGATTCGTGGCCAAACAGGATGCGTTGGGGTTAGCGTTGACGGCCGCGAAAGGGCTGCACGAGTACCCGAAGCTCAGCGCGCTGGCGTGGACTCAGCCACCCTCACGATGGTCGACGGCATCGTCGCGTCTCTCTGTGGCCCTGACGGCTTCGCGGATGCCGCTTGCACCAAGTCGCTGGTCACCAACCTGCACTTGCTGAAGCCGTGGGTTCCAGCGAGCACCCATTCCATGAAGGGCGTCTCCGTCAGCTCGTTCCTCGAGGTGTTCGGCGAGGCGCTCGGCCTGGCCGAGCGTCGCCATGCGACTGGAATGAAGCACGGGAGCTCGGTCGAGGACCTCGCGAAGAAGATCCCGCTGGAGGAGGTGAAGGAGATGATCGCGCTCGTCGGCCCCTTCAACACGAAGCTCGACGCATTGGACGTCCACTTGACGCAGAAAAGGCGCCGCCATCAACACTGCTGGCATCCATGTGTATTTGACGAGTACGCATGCGTTCATCAGTGGCATCGTCGACCAGAGGCTGAACCACAATAAGATCAGGATCGAGGACTTGTCTGGCGACGCTGAGGTTTTGACGTCTTGGGCAGGCGGCTGCGACGGTAAGACCTGGTCGGACAAGCTCAGGCCAGATGACAAGAACGGGCTTGCTGCTACGAAAGCGTGCTACGACAAGACGCTCGGGAACATTCCGGCCAAGACGTTGGTGGACCTCGCGGCTCAGGGGGAGGAGAAGTGGAGTCAGCTGAAGGAGAGGAAGACGATCCTCGAGGTGGGCCGTTCGCAGACAGGATTCCCACCAGATCAGTTCGTGATCGATGCCTTCAACGTTGTGCAGGGGGCGCTCACGACGATCTTTGAGCGTGAGGTCATCGGTGCCGTCGATGCGTTGAAAGGCAACCTGGTGCAGATGAAAACAGCGATCGGGGGCTACAAGAAGAAGGCTTCGACTTACGACCTGTGGGATGACAAGCCGTTCCAGATATGGGCGAAGGCGGTTCCAGCGGTTCTGGAGATCGAGAAAAAGGCCATGGCGATGATAAGGACATCGCGAGACGATGGGCCAGCGCAGATCCTTGCAGCCAGTTTGGTAGATAGTCGTCACTACACGCTAGTGTAATGTCAGATAGCTGCGTTTGGCAGCTAGAAGCGAGGGAGCTTGCCAAACGGGGAAACGGCTTGCGAGAGATCTACAAGCACTCCCCCGATTGGGGGCACACCTTCACTTTTGATGAACCATCTGGCCCTGGCTGCTTCCTCCCTCCCCCCAATCCTTATCCTCTTCCCGAGGTGGGTTCGAAGGAGGAGGAGGATGTGGTGCAACCTATGCGGCGCAACCTATGTGGCGCAACCTATGTGCTGCAGCCCAGGTGGTGCAACATGCGTGGTGCAACCTATGGGGTGCAATATAGGTGGTGTAAGCCATGCCAGTGCAATCTATGCGGTGCAATCTAGATGCAACCTATGTGGTGCAACCTGCGCAGTGCAGTTTAGGCAGTGTAAGCTATGTCAGTGCAGTCTATGTGGTGATACCGATATGGCGCAAGCTATGTGGTGCAATCTACGTGGGCCAGGATATCTGGTGCAGTCCATGTGGTGAAACAAATGCTATGTAAGCTACGTGGTGCAATATCTTTAGAGCACCCTATGTGGTGCAAGCTATGTGGTGCAATGCATGTGTTGCAACCTAGTGGTGCAATCTATGTGCAGTAATCTACGCAGTCCAATATATGGGGCTCTAGTGGGTTTCGCGGTGGTCCTCGTGAAAGCTCCCTCGGGACCTTGGAGGGTAGGGGCTGCCATTGCAATTCTCGGAGTGTTTCCTGCATGGTTGCGGGTTTCGTGTCGGCCTGTTGTTCGGGCGCGCCTGGCCATCGAGCCTACCGATGCCCTCAGTGATGCCCCAGGGCACTTTTGAGTCAACAATCGGCCCCGCGCGGGCAGGCAAACGACCGACGCAAGACGCGCTCAATGGTGATGTGGTTGGAGCGGCGCGGATGGCCCGTTCAAGGTGACCTGGAAAACAGCGCTGCTTTCTACACAACCAGAATTGCGCAATGTACCGAAATGCTGTCGTGCAGTCAGGTCGGTAACGCTCTGGGGTTCAACTCGGCCATGCGTAATGCAACTTTGTTCGCATGCACTACGCGTTGCAGCACGTGTAATGTTACACGCGCTTGTAGTACAACTCTGGAACGTAATCTATGTGTTATGCTTCTTTTTAAACAATAAAAAATGTTTTTTATATAAAAACGTATGGTGTTTTTTTGCATACTTTTGGGGTGGTTTGGGGCTCATTATGTTGGCCACACTGAAATGCGCTCTGGGTATGGTTTGGGGGTGTTTAGGCGTTTTGAGGTCGGGTGGCGGTTCTCTGAGACACACCAGATCATAACCATGGAAGTACGTGTGAAATCAATGAAATGTACAGTCCGACGCCGCTTGACTGGAACACCTGGCCTTGCAGTCTGGTGGCCCCGCAGTGGGGGGCCACACCTTCTGTGCCGGACTGCATCTGTTTCCAAGTCGATTATTTCACGATTTTGCGATATTAGATAAACGCGTGATATTCAGTAGAAGTTGCTACACGTAGGTTGCGAGTTTGTACTATGCACGTGTACGTGCAGGTACATGGCGCAATGAGGCGAAGGGAAGGACATGAGATGAGGGCATCGGCAAGTACAATGGTAGGTTGATGAAGTGCAAAATGAACGAAGAGGATAACGTTCACACTGTACAGAACCGGCTTGAGAAGCAAGTTGACAATGGCCGAATCGTTCGTCGAGCTCCACCAGCCTCCCTAGCTGCTTTCGGACAGTAGCAGCTGCTAGGAAAAGCATGTACTGTATGAGTTGCGCGCGGAGCCTTTCAGACCCACGGCTCGTCGGCCAGGGGGCAGCTACACTTGCACGAGTCTCCCAGGTGGTTTACTGCGCTGTCATCCTGTATCAACGGCGGCCACTGTTCGCCGCTGATGGAGGGGCGGGCAGTGGAGTCTTTCAGAATTGGTGGGTCATGAACAAGTGATGTGTCTTCGGAATGGGGCTCATGGGGTTGGAACGGGCAGCGATGTTTCCCGAAGCAGCTTATGAGGGCACTTAGCAGCAGCCCAAGAAATGGCGCTCCATGCAGAGCAATGAGTGATCTGCAGCACACCATTAATGTGCCAGAGTGGGTGATACGCGGCACTGCGCTGACGATACAGGCTTCGAAGGATTAGTTGCAGACGGGACGAGGGCTTGCGTGAGGAAGGGAGGTCGCGCTCATACTTCGTTTCCTCGAGGCCATCGTACCCGCATTATTGCTACATGCATTTGCGTTATATTTGCGTTCTGCTTTTGTCTATATATACACATATTTCTTTCTCTCTCTCTCTCTCCTCTCTCTCTCTCTGTTTCTCCTTGTGTCTCTGTGTGTCTCGCTCTCTCGCTTTCTTTCTTTATTTATTTCTTTCTCTCTCTCTCTGTCTCTCTCTCTCTCTTATGGCTAGCTCGCATGCGAATCCGAGTGAGTGGAGTGCCAGCAGAAGCGGCGTGCCACAATCCACGAACGCTCGTTTTCTCGCGCAGTCCACTCTCACACCAGTTGCTTCCCAACTCGTTTCTGCGATCCATTCTCTAGGGCTCTATCGATCGGTATCAAGATCTGGTGGCTTTCGGGCCATCACGCCACCGTGCTTGGGTTACCGCTCAGAGGCTCATTGGATGCGTGTGAGGACGTTTTGGGAGACATCTCGGACGCCTCTTGGAGGCGGTTTGGCGAGTGTTTGGTGGCGTCTCGGGGGCCTCTTTCAGGCCCTCTTGGGGCCTGATTTCGGCATCCTGGGAGGCCTCTCGGGGCGCCTCCGTTATGGCAGGGATTGGCTTGAACGGTCCCCGGCATGCCAGGGACAGCCTGATCCTAGCGGTCCGCAGCATGCCAGGGACCCCCGTTCAAAAGCCAAACCAATATGTGGATGTGTTCCTCGTGAGGTCCCTCTGGAAGTCCTCCCGAAGCCCTCCTGGGGCGACCGGGGGACCTCTGGAGACTTCCTGAGGCCACCTTGCGCCGTCTTGGAACCGTCTCGGGCTGTCTCGAGGCCTTCTCGCACAGCCTTGGGGCATGGGTCGATTCGGGGCCCCCCTGGCCTCCGTCAAGGTCATTCAACCCAGAAGCCATGCGAGAAGCCCCGGTAAGTTCGAAAGTTGGGGGTACGGCCTCCTTGAAGGGCAATTACAATCTTCAATATTCGAGGGGGTTTGAGGACACTCCACACGTTGTCTACAGCATAGTAGCGAATGTAGACGGACACGCATCGATGGATAGTTGGTTGGACCGATGGGTAATTTCTTAAAAGCAAGTGTACACGTCTACAGAAACAGACACGGATGCACAGAAGAGTCGACTAGTTATCCGTAATGGCTTCGCCCCCTGCCGCTGACCCCCTCTCTCGGAGAATGGACCATGGAAGAGCGAAGTCATGAGGCTTTGGCTTCGCCGTGAAGCAGTGTCGGGACCTTTTTGTTTTTCGACCCTGACCTTACGGATTTGCGTAAGGGGTGTCACCGAATCTCAGAAATGTAGCAAATCCTTTGTGTTTTTGGACCCTGACCCCGCCGATTTGCGTAAGGGGTGCAGCCGAATTTCAGAAATGTGGCAAATCCCATGTGTTTTTGGACCCTGACCCCGCCGATCTGCGTGAGGGGTGCCACCGAATTTCAGAAATGTGGCAAATCCCTTGTGTTTTGGGACTCTGACCCCGCCGATCTGCGTGAGGGGTGCCACCGAATTTCAGAATTGTTGCAAATCCCTTGTGTTTTTGGACCCTGACCCCGCCGATCTGCGTGAGGGGTGTTACAAAATTTTAGAAATGTGGCAAATCCCTTTTGTGGTTGGACACTGACCCCGCCGATTTGCGTGAGGAGTGCCACCGAATTTCAGAAATGTGGCATCTCCTTATGTTTTTGGACCCTGACCCCGCCGACCTGCGTCAGGGGTGCCAGGACATTTTAGAAGAAATGTGGCAAATCCCATGTGCTTTTGGACCCTGACCCCGCCGATTTGCGTGAGGGGTGCCACCGAATTTCAGACATGTGGCAAATCCCTTATGTTTTTGGACCCTGACCCCGCCGATCTGCGTGAGCGGTGCCACCCTTTTTCACAAATGTTGCAAATCCCTTTTGTGTTTTTGGACCCTGACCCCGTGAGGGGTGTTACAGAGTTTTAGAAATGTGGCAAATCCCTTTTGTGTTTTTGGACCCTGAGCCCGCCGATCTGCGTGAGGGGTGACAATGTTTACCCACCCCAGCAATTCAGACAATACGATTGGGCGTGGTAGAAATGCCAGTTTTGGGCCTCCCCCCCGGTCCATCAACAAGAAACAGTAAGCAGCAAGAAGCAGAACTGCAACAAGGAACAGTAAGCAGCAAGAAGCAGACTTGTAACAGTGGAAATTTGAAGCTGCAACTGGTACAGGAAACTGCGAACCTCCGGCCTCCTACAGCCTGGTGGCCCCACAAGGGGGCCGGCGGATATTCGGTGTTCAAATATTGAAAGTTCGAAGAGTTGGTTGGTGGAGATAAAAGACATAGAAGGTGTGATAATAGTTAAACTATTTAGTAATGCGGGTTCATTGCCATTCTGGCGCGAAGCCAGTCGCAAACCCAAAGTTACATGCATCCCCCCCCCGCCCCATGCGTCTCCTTATCGATTGATCGGGTTGTTTGCCTAAGTATTCATCGGAGCCTTGTTGGCGGGGTTAAGGGCCGTTCTGAAATCCTCCAGCGGCCAGGTGCACATCTTGGGGCCCTCGGTGCGAGAGTCTCGCCTGGACCGTTTCCAGAGCGGTGAATACGTGAAGCTGTTGATGTTTGGAGGGAGAATTGCGTCAGGTTGTATTTATTGCATGGGACGTTTCGCGCTACTGCTTGAGCACTCCTCAATCAAATTCTGACGGGTCGGCGTGCATGTAATGCGATGGCCTATTGAGTCTGTTAAAACACGCATTTTCTCGCTCTACCTTGGGAGCGCCGCATTGAAGAGTTCGTCAGCTGGAACACTTAGCGGTTGTCATGTGAGCCCTGGAGGGCTCCAGTTCTTCCCCGCCTCCCCAGACAGGCTGTCGCGGTTGCCTACAAGCGCGAATGGGCGGCCCAGAGGGCAGAGAGGGTCAACATGTTCGTTTCTGTAGTGGGCGCGGCCCATCGCTCACTCGCTCCACTGCTCGACGAGGACAAAACAGCATTAACATAAGTTCTGGCGCGCATCCTGGCGTTGGCCCAGCTGTGAGAGATGCACCGGACCCCTCCATGCTTCGGGGCGCCCGCGGGAGCGCAAAGGGCATCCCGCGCATCGCACGTCGCAGCCTGGGTCAGAGAGCTGCCCTCAGCGCAGACCATCGAGGAGCATTTTGGTACATCCTGCGAAAAAGTGCACACATGAAGCCGAAAAATGCACGGGAAATAGACATCCGAACGATGGCGAGGTCTGGGGCGGGCCCTTCCCGCCAGAACCAGTCACCGCCAGTCTGCTGCCGCAGCGTGCCCGCATCATCTAGGTGTCGTCGGTCCGGTCCACGCATAGCCAGTCCAGCCGTCACCGTCCGCCCTTCGCCGTGGCTGAGTCCTGAGGGAAACGGGTCCTGAGGTTGCTCGCCGTTTTCGGGTTCTCGGGGCCCTCCACGGGCCCCCAGACTGTCAGAAAACGACTCAGGATGAAGATCTCGTCGTGGGGGAAGGCACCAGGGTCCAGAACCCGTTTCCCTGAGGACCCGCTTCCCCCATGCTGAGCCATCGTGTTGTCGGCGTCTGAGACGTCTTCTTTCGTCGGTCGCCTTGTCTCGGGGCGGGCGACCGGGGGATTGGGAAGGGGTGGGTACGAGAACTGCTGCACATGCAGTTGGTTTCGGCCCCGCCGCCTAGCGCTGTCCTCGATACACTGCCGCCTCTGGTGGCGGGAGGCGCTGGGAAGCCAGGTACATGGGCTAAGTCAATTCGTGAAAACCCTTCCTTCGTCTGGGCCGATTGTCGCCACCATGGTCGCAGCCTGTGCTGTGGTCGCCCTCCTTCTTCTTCGTGGACTTGCTGTGTGCCCTTCTTCGGCGCATCCTCATTGCGCAAGCACGGTGACAACAAGCGCAGATTCGGGCACCGACCATTGGACTTCTCCGATCAAGTTCACCGTTGCTCGTTTGGGCTGGCCATAGTCGAGTCCATCTCTCGGGCGAGGGCATGGTGTGAGCTTCTGAGCTCTGTGCGTAGGGGCTTGACCTGCTGCTCGTGGAAGAGGGAGTAAATGTCCCCAGTTGGACAGTGCGATGTTGTAGGGCGACGTGCCACTTGCGAATCGGGCCTGTTCTTGCCATTACCCTTCCTCTTTCTTGTCAGTTGTCTCCGGGCCTGCGCTGAAAGGCACCCAAGGCCTCTGAGGTTATGGCGATGCCTGGAGATGGGGACGCGCGCCACGACCAGTTTCCTTGTGTTTCGGACCCTCAGGGGAAGTATGTGCAGCATGAGGGCGAAGCGAACCATGCAAGCGTCGAATGTTATGTCTGGCGTATGTTGGATTGCGCAGGATTTGCGATTCAAAAGCTTGGGGCGCCACGTCTCCCCGACTGGAGGGCTACTGTAGGCAAATGCCTGATCCACGAGGTTCCACCACGGTTGAGACCGTCGTGGTCAGCATGGAGGAGGAGGAGGAGGAGGAGGAGGATTCTTGCCAATGGACGGACATTCTAGGGTACCTATACGACCACCGTTCGGGTGATAAGGAGGTTGGGGGGGACAGGGAAATCCCACTGACAACAAGTGCGATGGATGTGATGGCGATGAGATGGCGCTATCGATCTCACGAATTTCGCAATCGATCTCAACATGGATCTCACCATCGATCTCGATAACGATCGTACTATCAATCTCACTATCGATTTGAGTATTGCTCTAATAAGAACGAAAGAACGAAGCAGCCGCCACCAGGAAGCCGTCGTCCCTGCAAAGGAGGCTGGCGCGCTAGTCGCTCGCAGGCCTTCTACGAAGGCCACTCGATGTAGGGTCGTGCCAAAAAAAACTTCAATTAGCCTGGCGAAGGACCCAACCATATGCAATTGTGAGTACCGCAAATGTGCATATTCTCTTCGGTGGCGATCCCTCTGGGGCCACGAACCGTGTGAGGGGTGTGCCGAAATGGGTGCGGCGTGCGCATGCGAACGCAGCCACTGGGGCCTTCGGTGGAACTCCCTATGGGGCCACAAAACGTGTGACAGGTGTGCCGAAATGGGTGCGGCGGGCGCATGCGAACGCAGCCGCTGGGGCCTTCGGTGGAGCTCCCTATGGGGCCACGAAGCGCGTGAGGGGTGTGCTGAAATGGGTGCGGCGGGCGCATGCTAACGCAGACATTGGGGCCTTCGGTCGAGCTCCCTATGGGGCCACGAAACGCGTGAGGGGTGTGCCGAAACGGGTGCGGCGGGCGCATGCTAACGCAGCCACTGGGGCCTTCGGTGGAGCTCCCTATGGGGCCACGAAACGCCTGAGGGGTGTGCCGAAATGGGTGCGGTGGGCGCATGCTAACGCAGCCACTGGGGCCTTCGGTGGTGCTCCCTATGGGGCCACGAAACGCCTGAGGGGTGTGCCGAAATGGGTGCGGCGGGCGCATGCTAACGCAGCCACTGGGGCCTTCGGTGGTGCTCCCGAAAGGGCCGAGAAACGCGTGAGGGGTGTGCCGAAATGGGTGCGGCGGGCGCATGCTAACGCAGCCACTGGGGCCTTCGGTGGAGCTCCCTATGGGGCCACGAAGCGCGTGAGGGGTGTGCCGAAATGGGTGCGGCGGGCGCAGGGAGGTTGATGATGCAACGCGGGGCTTGGGACATCCGTGCTCCACTCCACTGCTGACACGCATGCAACTCTTATTACTAAAAGAAGCAACGTACAACAACAAAAAAGGAAAGAGGTGCCAACCCATCCATCCAGCTGCCGATGAGCCAGTTGTTCAAGGCCGAACGTGCGGCCTCCCACGCCTCCTGTCGCCTACCCTCCTCGTCTGGGGGGGAGGCCGGGGCGAAGCAAGATAGGGTGGGCACCTGGATTCTGCGTCGAGCCGCCCTTCTCTCTCTGGCGAGAGCGCGGTGGGCCGCTATGCGGTCACGCTGCTGCGAAGTGAGCACGAGAGGGGCAGGAGGAGGCGGCGAAGGCGACAGGGGGGGAGGCGGAGGAAGGAGAAGCCACTCCGCAGCTTGCTCCTCTGGGGAGCCATGCACAAGATCTGCGTACTGCTGCTCTGCCAAAGCCTCCTCATCCTCGCCATGCGAGGGAGGCACGAAATCCCGCTGAGATTTGTCCTCAGCTCCATCTTCTTCATTGTCCGAATCCTCGAACCTGTGAATTTCAGGATCTACTCTACTAGTACCCTTGTGCGAGAAACCTGCAAAGTCGGGAGCAGGGCTCTCCTGCGGTGGGCTAGAAGTCTGAAACGTGGCGTAGAATACTGCAAGCGATTCACGGATATCATCATCATCCTCGGGATAGTCCAGGTCTTCGCGGGGCGGGGTGGAGGACTCAGCCGAGGAAAGGAGAGACCTGGCACTATCCACGATGGCCGAGGCGATCGCCTGGCACATCTGAGGCGGGTAAGTCTTTTTAGAAGCCGTGTAAAAAGATCCCGAGGCCCTTTTCCGTAGAAGGGTCTGGTGAGAGCCTCTCGGGTGAGAACATCTACCGCCTCCTGGAGTGGCCCTAAGGAGCCTATCCATAGTGGGCATGCGAACGGCAAGAATAGTAGTGGGAGCACGGCCTATTTGCCCAGGGTCCACCTCGGGACCTTGGTGCTCGCATTGATCAAATGAAGTGACCGCGGCACTTGGGGCCGCGGCCAGGGCCTCTAGAGGCCGCCAACGGAACGCGGACGGGGCCCTTGGGGCCCACGTGGGGTTGGCGGGATGCCCCATCCAACCCCCCGTGCCCGCCCTCAGATGCTCCGCCAAGAGCCAGACCATTGCGTGCAACAACTGAGACCCAATACGAAGCTGCTCGGACTGACGCTGAGACACCCAAGGTTATCCCCACATATACTGAGTAGACCTGAGAGGGGGGGGGCCTCCCTCGTGCCACCGGGCAGCTGACCAGGTTTCACAAGGAGGCCCCCCCCCAGTGTTGATGACCCTGTGACAGCGTATGTGCTCCACCCATTCGAGAATCGTAGCCTCCTTCGTCAAATCCCCCCTGTCAGCGTCAATGGCAATGTCCACGCTGAGAATCACTAAGTGAAGGTCGGACGTAAGCGTCTCATGCTCGAGTTGCCACTGGACGTCGCCTCTGCGACGTTGCCCACAGTAGAGATGCAGAACGTACGCCGTAGGTCGACGAATGCGAATAGGGACAGCAGAAGCCAGAAACTCGGGATATTCACCAGGGTTATAGACATAGAATGGAGTCTCAGGGACCACGGGGATCACCGAGGGAACATCCGAGCAAATAGTAGTATACTGCTGGATGAGGTCATCGGGGATGGCGGGGACAGCCTCCAGGAGAAGCTGTAGGGCATCAAGGTGCGAAAGATGTGAGGTGAGGGCCACAATATCGGGGTCACGGGAGAAAGCGGGGAGTCGTGTAGCAGGGACTTCGATGCGCCACCTCCCCTGTCCACAAGCCCGTTGATTTCGCATTCGTACGTCCTCCTGCTGCTGAAGTGCGGTGGCTTCTGCTACCGTGCACTGCGGAGCAGACACGATGAGGCCAATTGCACATGGTAATGAGTCGAATGCAAGGTGCGCCGTGAGAGCGGACCGATGCGCAAATGACTGAAAGCATGTACAGCAGGAGAGAGACGAACCCTGACAGTTACGAATAAACGATACGCGTGAATGATGCACGCGCTGAATGTGCGTTCGAAGCCCTCTGATGCGAGAAAATGAACGCGAGCACCACATACACGTGAACACATTGGCGTCCTCTCTCTCCTGCTGGCGTAGGCGATGCCGTGGGTCGTCCCATGCCGGTGGGACCCCTGCTGATTCGAGTATCTGGAATATCTGGTCTTCGGCAGCCCGAGCAAGAGTGTCTCGCTGGATATGCCGAACGTGAGAAGCCAACGCCTGCCTAATTGTCTGCTTCCACCCCACTGCTGACTTCTTGGCCTCCATCTCCCAAGACTGTAGGTTCTCGAGAGGGTCGGGGAACTCCTGGAACCTACGAGTGTACAAACGCAGCCATCCAAGATCACCCAGAATCATATGTCCCCAGGTCCTGGAAGTCTCAACCATAGCGGCGTGAACTAAAGCCATAATGTGGGGCGGGCTCGAAAGCAAGAGGCGGCCAAAAAGGCGAAGCCTGTGGGCAGACAGCAATGCGTCGAGCGGCGGGCGGCCCACTCGCGCAAGAACATACTTAGACGGCATGGCTGTGTCATCCGCTCGGGGAAGTCTGGCAATAGCGCGGTAATAACGGAGGAGACCGTCCTGTAAATGATTATGCTGTGCCTGGGTAAGAAAGCCCCAAGTGCTGGATTGAAATAATCTCCCGGAGCAAACCAGAGAATCCAAGAAAACCAATGCAGTCTGCATCTCGATGGTTTTGTGCTTAAAGACCTTGCCTCTGAGAACCCTCCAAGCCTGCGAACATCCCGAAAGACGGTGAGCCAGTTCTGGCCCCATAGACGCTGACATATCGTGCTTAGTACCAAGATGAACATACTCTTGAACCCGATGAAGACACATGGGCCCCAAACTATGTGTAAAAGTATGTATGGTATTGTGCAGCGTCTGTACCAAAGTACGTTTGGCCCCTTTGGAGGAAATGCCACGGAATTGAAACAGAAAGGCAGACTTGCCTGGTTTGACGTTGACTTGAAGGCCCGAGGCTGAGAATGCGTCAATGACCACGGAGGCAATGAACGGCGCTTGCTGCAATAAAATACTGGCACGGCCTTCAAAGCAGAACAAGGCGTCATCAAAGAAGGCGCCGTCCATAGAGTGACATGTGTAAACTGCTGGCGGCTGCTCCGCATTCCCCTCGGTGTAGGACGCGAGAGACGAGACTAGGTGACATGGAAGACGTAGCCCAACACCTAAAGCGAGAAGACCTTCCTGGGCAGTGGCCATGATTTTGGCCATGATGAAATTGAAAACCAAATCGCCCAGTTGTTGTCCAGGACCAGAGCCCAAACAGGGAAACGCCACACCTGAACCATCTTGCACATAAAACCAGGATTGATCATACGCATCAGAAATTTGGCCCCTACGAAAGGCCGAAACTCCGCGATGTTCGAGCAGGGGGGTGGACGATCGCATGGTTTCAGCCAGGTCCTGGGTGGCCTCCGGAGGTAACCCACAGAGCTTGAGTAGTTTGGCGATGGCTTCGTCATTGGCCGAGGTACGAAATATTAGTTCGCGAACTGATTTGTAGAAAGCCTGAACAGCATCAATGAACAACATCATCACCGTGTGGTTGCGCGCAGCTGCAAGTTGTTGAAACACACGGAGTTCGAGCGCTGAAAA